TTAATAACTTGTCACGTTTTCTGCCACCTCCCACGACCCACAATTTTTTTTCCTGTTCACTTTACTTTTTTACCACCCACCCCTCCCCCTCCCCCCGTGATAAATCCATCCGTAGATTAAACTGGATCCGCTTATACCAGCACGGAATTAACTCGAAGCCTTAGATCTTCCGTATTATAATGGCGTGATCGCGTAGAATGTATTATTCAGAGACAGTTGAATTCGAGAATGAGGGCCTAGATACACGAAACCGCTAAAAGTTTTCATTACTCTACCTGTAAGAATAATTTAGATATATTTTCCGATGTCACGGTCCTATTTTCAACGGAGATATCCTGGTATTTGCAAGGATTCGCGAGGTAGGGAAAGAAAGCTCGCAAGGGAATGTTCCTGTAAATTGGAAAACGTCTGAAATAACATTTCGTGACGTTCGACGATGCCGTTTTTCGAGAGGGCCGGATCGATCTCTCGATACACACGTGTGTGGACGTAGAAGTCTGATAAAACAGTGTAACAAGTGCATACAAGATCTGCCAGAAAATGCTTAAGGCCAGAAAGAAGTTCGGGCTACTCAAGGAAATCGTAATCGTGTATCAAACGGAAAATATGGCGAGTCGAGTTTATCGCGAGACGTACGAATCGAACTGTCGCGATCTGTTGTTCCTCTGTGTGTTGAAACTTTCTCGGGGGCACGAACCATGAAAAACGGTGGTTTATTTAAAACTTCCCGTAGCATTCTTTCCGAGTCGGCGCGTGGTTACCCGTCCCCCTGTCGGAAACTTGTTTCATTAAAGTATAAATAACAACACCGGTGAACTTTGACTGGTCATCGGTACGAGGGGCTGAATGTACTGGAAATTTTTAATTAAAAAGTTTCATCGAACCGTGGACACGTATGTTTGTTAATCAATAATTCTGATCGATTTAGAGGACGATTCTCTTTTCGTATAAAGGGTAAGGGGGGAAACAGGGAATGTCAATTTTTTTAGCGATTTTTACGGTGTATGACGCATATTTTTGGTGGCAATTTAGGGCTACAAGAACTGTCGATTCACGATTTTAATCATACACGCACGAAAGTAATGTTGGATTTCTGCAATAGATGAAACTTTTGTTTTAATACAAAACACTGTTCAAACTACCTACTGAAGTACACTACCGGCCAAAAGTATGGGACCAGAACTCGATAAATAAGAATATGATATAAATGAAAAAATATAGATCGTAATTCACCTCTTAAAAACGCTACGAACTTTCCGAATAATACCATGTTACACAGACTGTGATTGTCCCATCCGCGGATGTTCACTGAAACTCGCACATGCATTGCTATTGTCTATTTGTATCACATCACAGGGCTCCGCACACAATAACAAAGAAAAAAGAATAAAGCACATAAACTGTGAAGTCAAAAGCCACTAAATTAAATTTAAAAACTACAACTAGTGAACTACAATCTAAAATTACTAAATTAAATTGAAAATTATAATAAACATTTTCCGTTCGCGAGGAGTTCCGTTCTCGACGACGGTCACGGTCAAACTGAAGAAGTGTTCGTTGAGCCTCGCCTGAACAGACGAATTATATTTTCGACAATATGCTTTTACTAACCTGCTGTAGGAAATGTGTGCATTACCTAGTAAATGACTACATTCACTAGAAATAGTATAAATGCTTATATTTGATTTATACTTCTCCTAACACCGTACGTAAATGCATACATTGTAGTAAGTGTATACATTTACTAAACTTCACGCGTTTACAGTGACACATATACCCAGTGAACACGGTTCGATCCTTTTTGGACTAAACAGAGAGAAGAGACACGCGATAAGGCAGCACGGTGCCGTGCACAGATTGAATCGGTGGAAGGAAAAAAAATCGTTTCAACGAAACAGGTGTAAAAGGGAGAAAATGTAACCGGAACACATTGTAGTAGCGATCGGTGGTAGAAAGAGAGACCAGTTGAAACGGGGACTAGTATTAAAGGAGCCCATTAATTTCTCCATCGATCCCTGTGGTCCATTGTCCGGTCGGGTCATCGACAAAAAAAATGGGGGTGGTGGGGTGAGCATTTGGAATCGACGACGCTTGAACGCCTCTTTGGAAAGTAACCTCTTCCCGCTCGACGGATTTAATGATCCGCCGCTGCGAGGTGTATTTACGTTTTCGAGTGTCGTTCAGAAGCAACGCGAAATATCGAAAGGACACCGAGAGGGGATTTCGATGGGCGAAACCACCTCGAAACAAGAAAATTTTATAGTTTTACTCGGATCGGTTTGATCGGGATCGGGAGCATTAGATTCAGTTAGATTCAGTGAAGAATTATCTCCTAGCCCTGTATTGCTGGGATACTCTATTGACAGATCTGAGATCGAACTTTTTATTATGGATTTTATAGTTTTACTCGGATCGATTGGATCGAGCGTTCCAGGCGGAGGTTTAAATTTGGATTAGATAGAATTGTTCTACGAATTAAATATTATCTACTATTAGACAGATCAATAAGTAATTCACTAAGCTTCAATATGGTTGCAATAACATATATGTATATTTCTAACCATCTGTTCAGTCAAAATACTGGAAGATGATAGGAACAAATAGCTAATATCGTTAAAATAGGATAAATCTAAATGAATACCTAACCCTGCATTAACCCTCGAATGGGGTATAGTATCTAATCTATTCTACAAAATATATAAAAAATAAAGGACCATTTGTAACTGGACAGGGAAACTTCGAAGCAATACATTTGTATTTTAATCCGATCGACGTTAATCCTTACCGACTTGTTCCCGTTCACGGTACTGTCGCAGAGGAGGAGGGGTATAGAATCTGTCGACAGGGTGGAAGGATGTAGGGGGTGACGCAATGTTTGCGAAGACTGACGAATGTTCGTTTCTTCCCTTCGGCGGTGAATCCTTCGGAACGGTGCTAACCGTGGCACAGGCCTGGGCGTAAATTCTTTGAAATACTGGGTAATAAATAACATCTAACGTAATGGGAATTCGTTGTTTGTATCTATAACAGAATTCAGGGAAAGATGTTTCGATTCATATGAAAATCACATAAATCACTCGAAATACAGTATTCTCTGTGTGTAATCGATCTCCTTATACACTTGTCACTATTTCCATTATACAGAATCCCACCGAATAATATGTAAACGTGGGCACCACGTGATTCCTTATGAAAAAAATAAGAAAAGAATACAGGAAAACATTTTAGCATTCTTCGCTTAGTTTTCGAGAAAATCGAATTTGAAAATTAATCTGAAACGCGTGTATTCGTAATGGTAGTAAGTAGAAACGGAGTTCAGTGGCCAGACACGCTAGCCAAATATTTAAAATCGATTTTCTCGAAAATTAAGTCGAGAATGAGAAAATTTTATTTCTATATTTTTTTTTATTTTTTTTATAAGATGTCACGTGGTCACTTTGACGTATTGTTCGGTTGGACCTTATACATCATATTAGCTGACACTATACGGACCTTGCCTGATCTATCACAGACCGTAACTACTGCCACATACCTTGTACCTACGTAAAACACAATTATTCAAAAAAATTATTTCTAATCACACGAGGTCATTTATCATTTAAACTAATGCTCAGTTCTACCTATAACAAGCCTCAACACTGCATATACAAGGTAAGTCAATAAGAACTATTATCTCAAATAACTCTTTATATATTGGTTGTGTCAGAAAACGTTTTGATGAATTATGTAGCATTTTAACGGATGTATCGAATGGATACAATTTGATATTTTTATGTCTTATATTTTTTATAAAGAGCGAATTCAGTGACCTATATTATGACGGTAATTAAAAAAAAGATGCAATGACCTGGAAAAAAGCCAAGGTCACCTTGATATCCCCTAAAATAATAAGACATAACAAAATCAAATTGTATCCATCCGATGCGTCCCTTAAAATGCTACATAATTTATTAAAACGTTTTTTAATACAACCAATAGGTAACAAGTTATTTTAGACAGTAATTCTTACTGACTCACCCTGTATATTTCCAGACTTATTTTCAACGTACTGTCAAGTACTCATTTCTCGCGAAACGGTGTTCAATATCCAGTCCAATAACCACCAGTACCGGCTCGCGATACGTCATCCGTTGTATCTGTCCACCTAAAGGGTTAAAACTACCCTCGGCCAAAGACGCTCGATCAAAAGAATCGACGTCGTAGCGCCTCGAGGGGTACGAACCTATTCAAACCACGTCATCCGGATTCTCTCAAAGTGATTAACGAATGCAAAGGAGAGTCTCTAGTCTTTTCCATTCTATGCGGTATAAACTCGCAAAGGACCAGGCCTGGCTGCCATTAAAAAACGAAAAAGGATATCTGACGACGACCCGACGCGCGAAAACTTCAAAGGAAAAAGGATAAATAAACAGCCGATGATGATTCGAGATCACTCGAATAAAAGGGGGTGGAAACTACCCTGCGTACAAGAAGCCGTGTCTTTGGCTCGAGCTCAAAGACCGTCGCCTCTGGCGGACGACTCTTTTGCGACTGGGCCCGCAATGGGAACGCGGATTGTTCCCGGCGAGAGGTGCTCTCGAGCTAGTCAAAGGATCCCGAGAGCAGTCGGATTGTTCAGCGTGTCCGCAACCGTGACAGGATGTGCTCGACACCCTCCTCTTAATCATGCTACGGGAGACAGATCGTCTGTCTGCGCGCGAGACCCCAGAAGACCATTTAAATATTAATTATGGACGAGGAACTTGGGCGTCGGACTGAGAAAAGATCCTCGAGGAGGATCTGAATGGATCATCGATAAACCGTAATCGATCTGGGTACTCAAAAATCAATCTAAAAATCGAAAAGTAGGGAGCAAAAGATCGATCTCAAATCGACAACCCTACACGTAAGTATTATAAACGCTGGAACAGAGAGTTCACCTGCGACCAGCTTCCAGGAAACGCTGTACGAAACAAAACGGTGCTGGTGAGAACACCGTAACTAATTAAACTGGTACTTACCGAATGATGCTTCCCAGCGGATTGTCCGACGTGCAGCTGGGACAAATTTCGGACGGCAACTTTCAGGTTCCTCCATTCGCTCCTGACCTGTTGCTCCCTTTCGCGGCTGAAACAAAAAGTTCACCGGTTAAATACATATATAAACTCGCTGACATAGAGGCTATAAATATTGTAGGAAAAGTACAAATAATGTAAAATCGATCCACGAGACTCTGAATCTGCATTTGGAATTATTCAAATCGAAATCTTTCAAATCGATTTACGCGGCAAAGTTTCAAAGCCGGAAAAAGAGGACATCGGCGGTAGAAGGAAGCATAAGAAATAGATTCCTCCCACCACGTTAATTAACCGTCCGTATAGAAATTCTTCGGCGGTCCATTAAGAGTTTTTCGTACGTAATTTATCACCGCGTCGGATGGTAATTCATCATCGGCGGCGATCGAGCGGGTGAGATCGGTTTTTCATTTCGAAAATCGCCACGGACGATGTATAACGGATGATCGTGAATAAATTGAAAATGAAATGGTTTTCGATATTGTCACCCCTGCAAAACGGCCGCCGCCCGCGCTCCGATGAACTTCGCGAATGATTAATGGCCGTCGAGTGAATTACACGGTTCGCAAATTCGAGGCGAATTCAACAAATCGCGAAACACGGGGAGAACCAACGGTACCAGAGGGGGACAAGCGAGGTCTTCGGCGAATCGCGATTAATTTTGCCGCGTGGGGATCCTGACGGCCGTTCTCTGTTCCCGTAATTGATCGTGTTCCCGCGCTCCAAATATAAAGCTTAATGCTCGGAAATCGAAAGAGACCAACAGTGAGAAAAAGAAGAGGAAAAATTGGTGCAAAGACGAGGAGCTTTGACCGTTCTGATTTGAAAACATAATAAGAGAAACTACAGTGACTCACAAATTTGTTCACAGAAGACTCTCGACTTCATCTCGTCAGATTATGTAACAAATTACGAAATTTTTTTCAATATTTTGAAAAATTTATCACGAAAGCATGATAAAAGTAAAAAATCATGAGGAGACATGAACAGAAATTGCATAAAAATTTGTTCACTTAATTGTAATTCTGAAAGTATATGAACGAATACACGATTCGCTATAAGTGTTCTATGACTTACGGTCAGGAGTGTACCAATATACAGACTGATTAAAAGAAGAGTCCAAGGCTTATAAAAAGGTTAAAATAAATCCTTTCATCGTAAAATTAAGTTTTTATATTTTACAAGCGTTCGATATCGCGAGTCTCTTCGCCACATATTGAACGTAAACAGAAAAATTGCTTCAAGAGTTTATCGATTCAAAATTGTACGACAACAAGGAAGACAAGATACGAAAGGAATATTTGAGAACGTACGTCGATCTATGATGTTTCCTATTGGAATTGAAGAAATAATATATCGAACACGTCTGCAATAAATCTGAAAACAAACTTTTCTATTTATCTTCGAAAAGACTGATTCCAGGACGTATGTTGCCTAAACAATTTTCACTCCTCTCAGTGAGTACTACAAACCCCTATATAGTCTTAAACCTTTTTCTTTTTATCGCCCTGTATACAGACGTACGAGCAAATAATCCCAGGCTACCACACCAGTTTAACCTTTCCCCGAGTGTTTTAATCTCGCCACGAAGATAAGTACGACGAGACGGAATGAGAAAAAGATTTCGCGCGAACACACCCCATTCCCGTGAGTTTCCTCATTCTTTTTTCTTTTTTTTTTTTGTTTGCACGTCGATACATCGTCGGTCGGGAATTTAAGGGACGCGTTAAGAATCGTGCACCTATTCTTTTCGTTTCGGGGGCGGGAAGGGGGACACAATCCGCCCGCTGATTAAAACCTCTTTTACTGCATTCCCAGAGATCCTTCGGGGCCAACGAAATGTAAATGTGTGTGTGACTCTGTGTATTGGCGCGTGTCTGTGTGCACGCGTGTGTATGTGGAGGCCTGCGTAGGCATTACCGAGATTGGGTGGGAGGAAACGTTTCCTTCCGTTTGCTCGTCCTTCCGAATCCTTTCAAGGAAAATTAAGTATATACCTTCTCTCTGGATCCTTACGTGTGCGCCAAGCCGCCAGCACACAGACTGCCAGCGTTGCCTGGTTCGTTTATTAAAACAGATCGCGGAGAAATTGAAAGCTCCTCTGTTCGTTTGTATCGGGGAAGGATTGGAAGGAATAATCCTCTGATTCAACCGGATCTGAGGTCGACTTTTTCCTTTCATATACTCGATTTTATACTTTTACTCGGATCGACTGGATCAAGAGCTGCGAGCGAAGGATTAGATTCAGAGAAGAATTATTCTATGATTTAATTATTATCCACTATTAGGCGTATCGATAAGACACTGATTACTTATTAGTAAATCTGATATTACTATCATTGTTGCAACACTCGTTTCACAAGTTTCTGAGAATTTTATGGTAATAATTCGATATGACATCCTGGAATTAATGATCATCGAACGAGGGTATAAAGTTATCCAATCGATTCTCCAGAGGGTGTAAAAACTAGAGGAATATTTACACTTGGACAGTGACATTACTAGCGAAACATTATCGTACACCCAAGGTTTAGGTATTACGTGGATACATGTCGCGAGCTTTCTTTGATTTTAATCAACAGTGCAGAAACGGTCACAATGCGCGCAGTTTCTGGTCTTCGTCGACGTTCATTACGGAGAAACCCAATCGGTATCGTCAGTCGGGCTTTCTATTACAGTTTAGTCGGAATTTAAAAGAAGAAAAGGCGCGCGGCAAGACGAGGGAGCGGAGGGCAATCGTCTTGTTCGTTGTGCGCATCGCGTTCCTCCTCCTTCTCGCTTCCATCCACGAGAAAGAATAACCGGAATTGCTCAGGGCTACCCGTTGGCTAGGGGTACTTCTCGGGATTGTTAGCAACTGGGTCGAACCAATTACGTACGTGGCACGTAAACTTACGCTTTTGTGGTACAAGGTGATTCAAAGTGGTAACGAACGACTACTTCGAGCACAGTCTCGTGTCTAAAGAAAAACCATGCATCCTTACACCGACCTGTTCACGGAAACAAAACTCACAAGACAACTGCGAGTAGGATCAGAGATGAAAATACATCGGAAGGCTTGCTGAACTTCGAGAAATACCGTTCGAATGTTTAAAGTTTCCCTCACCTTCGATGAAACTAATTACACCCTATTTATCGAACGCTTGGGAGGATAAATCTCTCTGGTCCCTTAATGAGCAGAAAATTTATCGGTTATTTTACAATTACTAGGTTGTTTCTAGTTACTCCTTTAACACCCTATGTGATGTATACGTCACATCTAGGACATCATATTTCCAGGGGTTTTGTCGCGAAACTAAAGGTGAGTCTTTTTTTTTTGGGTTAACTAATCGAGGGAAATAATTTTCTTCCCCGAAAGAGGTGTTTGGGCGTTAAAGGGTTAAAAATAAATTAAAAAATTTATTTTTGATATTTTTGACTATAAACGATTCAAGGGTCTGGGTGTTAAAGGGTTAAAATGAGTTACGATCGTGCAACACTAAAATAACCGTTGTTGAATCTGTAATGAATTAAACTATATAATTATATCATATACAATTTAACACAATATAGTATAATCTAAAATGTATAATAAAGACTACAAGTGAACATAAATCACATTGACGATTTCGCTAATTCTAAAGCAAGAAATTTAAGAATCGTCATTTCCACGATTCTAGGTGTTACCCCAGGTGTTAAGTGTCTACACCTGGTACTTTGGTGGTTCCACGGTGAAATGTCCACTTCACCCAAGTATTTTCTGTACCAAGTATAGCACACGGTAGTGGTCAACGGAAGAAGTTTCCTTTCCAAGAGTTTTCTCTATCGACCAACGGAAAGTCGTGGTAGACATCCCCTTTTTCGTCAGCGAGATCGTCTCTCCCCCCCACCCCCTGGTGAATTAATGGTTTCGGGGAGGGGTAAGACTGCACACCCTTTCGTATTTTACCGCTGATGCATGTGCGAGCCTCCACGGCACGGAGAGTAACGTCGAAACAGGAGTTACGAGATTCCCGAGCTCGGCAAGTCCCGTAAATCAAGCCCGGTTTCGAAGGCGCAATTTGCCCAGTTTTCCTTTAAACAAAAGGAACACACCCGCCCCCTTCCCGGCACGTTAGAAAAGCGACTTTAATTAACTGGAAGCTGTTGATAACAGAGACTATTGCCAGGATTGAAAGGGAGGGGGTGAGCTGACGTCTGAGAGAGTAACGGAGTCGAGGTGATTTCTCGCGACTCGACGACTCATCCAGGCTCGAAGAACTTATTGCGATGGAATTTTTATTCTACCGTTTTTGGACAACGACCGTAATCCATTACTGCGCCTCAATTGAATTCGAAAAGAAAAAAAGGACACTCCATTTACTCTTGATAGAGTTTCACTGACGATTAACCCTTATTCGGGTTTCCCTTTATACACATAGTTTTCCAAAACCATTTTTTCTGGAATTGGTAAGCGCAAACGAATTTGCTATATGATATTTAAGAACTTGATAAATAATAAAAGATTACATAAATTTTCAAATAATTTTGTCAACGCGCATTGAAGTGTGCTTATTTAAAAATTTGCGGTGGCCCCACACAATACGAAGGGTTAAAATGAAGGTGAGTATTTTTTTTTTTTGGGTACTTACAGGGACTTCAGCTCGTTGTTGAGATCATCCGCGCTCGCGAGGGCGGGAAGACTGCTCGCCTCGCAGGGTGGATTACTCAAATCTGTAACGTGAGACAATGAGGGATGAAATCCTCCAATCATATCGACGTTTATCCATGCGTGGTTCTTTGTAAATTTTATCCCTATCTAATAAAATTAATTTTTACTCATTTTAGATTATTTAACTAACACTATTAAATTTCTCAAGATTACCAAATAAAAGGGCCGCTCTTAGGGACTGAACAAAATACGCTAGGATCCATTAAAAAAAAAATCCAATCATATCGTATGTCTATCCTCCCATCGAAAATCCAAAACGATTTCGGTATTTCTTTGATATCAAATAAATTGCACAAGCACATCGAATTACCTATTGTGGAGTCATAGTGATCGCTGTGTCGTCCGTACGGGGCGGTTTTGCTCAGCAGCTCGTTCACCCGTCGCCTTGCGCTTCTGACCTGTCGGAGGAAACGCAATTTCTTTTACAATCGATCGACACACGCTCGAGAGCACATGAAAATTAAGGAACCGCTGCGACGGCCCCCCGAGAAGATACCGTTCGTCTTGGTCGACGATAAAAGATGCACGGCCGACAAGACGAACGGAACAACCCGATTTCCGTGCGAGAATCGAATCAACCAGGATTTACCGCGGCAGCTTCGAACACCGCTTTCTATTTAGAATCGAGCAAGCTAATCGACAGTTTTCTAGGGTGATCAAGGAGGGGGGGGGGCAGATATCTTTTCCCTGGTGGTGTGCTCCACAATTAGTGGATATTTTCATCCGCTTAATGCCCTCCGACCGATTGCACGTCCAGGAAATAGGGAATATAGACTGTCTCGCAGTTCGATCAACTGACAGTAATTTTTAATACTGGAAGCTGGAGTATTTACGATGATTTTTACGAGGAAATTAACGGTCATATTAATACACTAACCACCGTGTTATTCAAATACGATTGACACAAGTTGTACGATAAAATGTTATATCCTTGTGTGGCGGAGCTTGGTTTATTTTGATTGAAAGAAGCTGAACGATTTTCTCTAATAGACAGTACATAAAGACTGTTGGAGTTCATTTTGTACTCATTATTCTGGTTCTTCATCCAGTACATAAGCGACAAGAGATTATTCAAAAGTATTTTTTATATTCGGTCAATTTGACTCGAAAAATGATCGACACTTAATTATATTTTTTATTATGGGAATTTGTAAATTAATTTCACATTAGTATCTGACATACAATATGGGCCAGCTAAATAGGATCACCTAAATATCTGCCTTAATTGTTTGAAAAACTTCTGAGGAAAAAGTTTTTCATACAATTAAGGGAGATATTTAGGTGAACCGATTTAGCTGGTCCATCTTGTATAAATATATTATAATCTAACAATAGGGGAATCTATTTCCTTAATTCGACTTTAATTCAGGCCGAGTTTAATTCAAGGAATAGTCATGCAATAGATTACCAAAGAGTTGTCTGGTGCAAATCCAGTAACTCTCGAGTTAACACGGATTACCCGTGGGGTTAGTTAATCTTCCAAAGTCTCGAAAAGCCGCTTCTAATTTATCTGGATACTAAATCTATCTTAACAAATTGACCGAGTCTTATTGAGAAAAATATTATTAGGTGCTCTGTTAAATAGATCCGTTCACGTTGTCGTAGGACGATGAAACTTCGACAGGTCGATAAGTTGGAAAGTTTTACGAGAGTTTGTGGGCAAACGTGCCCACAGGGACAACGAAATTCAACGAATCAGAGCCGAGGTGGGGGGTGGGGACATTGATCAATTAATCGGAGTTACTTTCTTTTTGTGTGAAACAAACGCCAGTCGATCGGGAAATTTTTGTTAATTCGACGAAGGAACAAAAGTTATTCCCTCGTTTCGTTCCCCATTGTGTCGAATAACGATAATAATACCGAAACGCGTTCAATCTGCGGATTGCGATCGAAGTAAAAACGAAAATCGCAATATACGCGACGAAACAATTATTATCGACGAATTTCGTCCACGGGGTCATTCCTTTCGTTGCCTAGCGATTCGTGTTTTTTTTTCTCTTTACTTCACCGTAGTTCGATTGCTCGTAAAATTGCGTCGCTTACGAAGTTACAAGTAAAAAGAGCTGCGAGTTCCAAAGAATGTTCCGGTAACATATTCTCAAAGCGATCTGTTCGAAGAGAAAGAATCGATCGAAACATCGAATTCCGTGAATTTTTTCAACCAGGTGAAAATACTATATCGTGTCCCGTTCGTCTAGAGACCAAAGTTAATCAAATTCAATCGCACAAATATATCAATTAAGAATCACGGACGGTAATTCCATTTTCCCAGGCCGCCAACAGCTTCATCAAGCGGCCGAATTTTATATCAAATAGAAATGCAAATCCGCGCGTCGGGACCCTTCCGACCGAGATCCACCCCCCTCGCCGATTTCGATTTGAAATTCATTTAAAATCCTATTCAAATTCGATGGGAACGGTCATTAAGTCTTAATTACCGTGGTGAACATTCCCGTAACTAGCACGGTGTCGATGGGGACCGAGCAGCCCTATGAATCGATAGTGCACGCCTAAACTATCGCGTCAGAACGATTGGCTATTGTTTCAACGAATTCAGACATTTCATGAATAATGCTTAAAATGCTAGCTACAAAAGGACTGTAACTACTGATTGCAATTTCAGACATTTGTCAGTGACAAAATCTCATTAATAAATAATTCCTATTGATTTTTATCCGACAAAATTTATGACAAGTTATCATTATGAAATTCTATGTTAATTATCATAACTGTCTCAATAAAATTCTACAATAATCACATTCTAATTCGTCGATGTTTCTTTACATGGGACTACATATTTTTATCATCGTGACGTAATAGTTTAGCTCAACACCAATCCAATGACCTATAATAATGTGATCTTCGCGTGACCTTGTCTACGAAAATCTACAAATGTATGGGAGTAGATTTAAACAATAAAATAGCTACGATTAGTGGAAAAATGTATCGAAGTTGATAGATGTTACTTTGAGCATTTGTTAAAGTAAATTTTCTGCAATCACATTAGGTGGAACACCCTGTCCCAGGTAACACATGACGCCATGAAGAAGCCCATTTTACTGTTATTTTAGGTCTAAACCGCCTTTAACCTGTCTTCAAGGCGTCATTGGGCGTCATATGCTATCTGAGGTATAATCAATGGTTGCAAAATTAACGGACATTTATGACAATGTAGGTCTTACGAAATTCGTGTCGATGAGACTCTGCGTCCTGGTGACTTGTGCCTTCGGTGGATGATGGTCCTCGATGTTCCGTTTCGGGGTTGTGTCCAGCTCGTCGAGACATTCATCCTCCGCCAGAGACACTAAACTGTTATACCATTGCACGCTGGTGGTCCTGATGGGCTTCGAGGGCTCGTGAAGACGGTTCAAATCCTTGCTGAAGCTCAGGCTTCGCCTGATCGGCTGCAGCCCGCGGTTTATCGCCGCCGGTAACTCGGCACTGCCCCTTATCAGCGACCCGATTTTCTGACGGAACGAGGCTTTCCGTTCGAACTTCCCGCTCGATTTTCTCGAGACCGCCGTCAGGTCGTCCGAGTCATTTTCCTCGACGTTAACGACTATCTTATGGTACCTTCGATCTTCTGAAAAACATGATTTTTCATGGACCTCTAGCAGATACATTATCTTTTTGAATTCAAGTTAGAATCTTGGACGCCTTACTGATTCTGTATCTTTGATGACAAACGATCACTTTTGAAGAAAATGAACTGGAGTTTATTAGAACATAAAAATATTATATTATTCGTGTTAACGACCATCGTATAGTATCGTGGGTCTTTTGAAAAAAAAAATGATTTTCCATGGACCTCTAGCAGATACATTATCTTTTTGATTTCAAGTCAGAAATTTGGACACCCTATTGATTCTGTTTCTTTGAGGGTGACAACTGATATATGACAACTGATTTCACTCCTTTAGAAATACAGACACATATAAAAATTCACACTCACGTATTGTTATATCTATTTATCAAATTAAAATTCCATACCGTAAGGGATTAAAAACACCCAGTTCATTTTCTTTCAAACTATCGAGATACATATCCACAAATCCCAATTCCGACACCACGCACTCGGGATCAAAGTTCATTGCGCACCATCCGTCACTTCAAGGAACTCGGGGGTTTCAGCGTAATATGTTCTACCTGATTCGATGCTCGACACGGTCTTTACTGGCTCCTCCAACCGCTGTGGCTTTACTGTTTTCGCGTTACGACCGGATGCTTTCTGGCCGATCGTCATCGTCGTCGTCTTCTTCGGTTTTTTCGAGGCCTTCTTCTCGTCCTTCTTCAGCGTTGTCATCGTGCCAAACGGGCACACAACCTCGAGGGGGGCACGAGGTTCGTCGAAGGCAAAGAGATTAAAAAAAAACGAAAAGAAAAAGAAAGAAAACGTTTCACCGCATCCCCCGTCGTCTCGAAAGATTTCACTCCACTTCACCGCTGGCTGGCTCGTGGTATTGGCCACATTTTCGGCGAGGTCAGCTCGCGAGATAAACGATCGTTTCACGTGTAACGCCAATCACGGGCTGGCCGGTTCAAGCACTGCGGAACCGTCAATAAACGGCGAGGCCACGGCGGGCGCATTATAGGATAACGCGTCCGATCGAACAATTAAATGGAGTTTTTTTTTTCGTTCCTCTTCGAACGACGACTCTCTCTGGTTCCAATGTATTCACTGTAATTCACCGTGATTGTCCGCAACGCGGGACAGCCGAACCAGTGTGCATCACGATGGGTCGAGGAAAAGTGTTTTGTAGTCGTGAAAATCGTCCGATTTAAATGGTTTACGTCGCGATTCGTGCGAACTGTTCGAATGGCCAGACGTGAATGTCTTTCGTACAATTAGTGGCTGTTGTGTACTCGAAGTTCGTAGTGGGGTGACCCTCGTAGGACAGGTATATGTATATACACGAGTGGTATTTGTGATACGGTTGACGGTGATTTTGTGACCTGGAATTTTCGTTTGTTTTGAATTGTACGCGGCTATTGACCTGGCTTGGGGTTCTTGGGTATGATCGAATGGCTAAAATGGTCGATCGTTTGTATAGGGTATAGGGTAAATGTCCTACTTACTGTCAGTTTATTCGTTTTATTTAATGAAACCATACGGTAGAAAGAATTGTGTGAAAAAAATTCTATTATTAAATTGGAATTCTGGTTTACGTGTACGTATCTGGTGTTTGAAAATTAATGTTGAAAAAATAAAAATGCTATTCGAACGTCCAAAACGGAATTACGTAACTAGGAAGAGATTGCGAAATCGTAATAAAGAGCCGTAATTTTGCTATTTGAGCCTATACAAGGTGTAAGAAAAGTGTTGTAGGTGTCTGAAATGAGTCACTCTTAAGGTGATTTAGAACAAGTTTCTTTCTTAGCAAAGAAGTTATCCGAGGCTTTGTTAACGAGATATTAACGAAAAACCCCGACCAATCAGAGCTCGGCCGGCAGACTCGCGCTCTGATGTTTTAAAGAACACGCTTCTTTAATCACAAATTGCATCTAGAATTGCACTTAGCCTGTATCAGTGTATTTTTATTTCTTATCGTATTTTCTTCCTTATCATTGCGACGTCAATTAACCATATCGAAGTTATCGCCCAGAATATCGTAAGTTTTCCCTTTTTCCTCCCAGAGGGCACAAACGAAATTCGCGATCGATCTTCCCGACTAAGATTTTTTAGTTTCGTCTTTTTTCTTTTCTTCTCGTGTCTACGCTCATTAAGGGACACAAAGTACAACTATCCGGTTTTAAATCATCAAAAATGAAAATCGGTAATAGGGACCTGTACAGGATATTTTATTTGCGATTTTTACCACCGTGTTAAATGTTTCAACACGTTTCTCAACTGTGAAAATGCAGTTAAACCGAATACACACCGTGTACTACTTATTGTCGCGCTCCGTTATCGACAATTAACGCTATCGTAAAAGTGAGAGCGTATCGTGGCATTATCGTCGATTTACGAGGAACCTAACGGCTAATAATGTGTTTGCACCTTGATAGTACTGCAAAACTACCTACCAGTTTACAAGTTTAAAGCGATCTTAGTCTTCGATATAGAAACAAGAAGCCCAACACTGTATATACGTACGTCTGATCCTACCATACAATACACAAATAAAAATTTTTTAAATTTACAAAGGAAATTAATTTACAGACGCTTCACAGATGCTAATAATTAGACTGTGGAAGTTCATGCAAATTGACCATTTCAAATTCTAGTATCTACAAATTAAAATGGGAAAGAATTCTGAATCTTACATCAGAAGCTTTAACTGGAAGGTAATTTTACGAAACGATTGCTCCACCTGAAACCTGATCAAAGGGACGTGTTCGGTTAGCCCTCCGCAGCTATCAAAACACGTTGTAGCCAGTGTTCTCGATTGCAGGCCTGAAGGCTCGTGGCTAGTTAAATCGATGCACCGACCGGGGGACCACGTAGCGCGTTGCCACGTTCGTGAATGCGCCGATAAGGCTCGGCTCAAGGTGGCGCGAAGTTCAGCCGATTAGAGCCGGAAAACATCTTAAAAAACTATCGCCGATAAGGCTGGAAAATATCGTACAACTTCCGCGGAATTATTCGCCCCCGTGTCCAAGAATGAAATCACGAATTTTGCGTTCCCCTGTCTCACCTGGCCCCACGTGACACCGGCGATCATCATCAGGGTCCTGTTAAACGTTACACGAGACACAATATTCCACGACAATTCGCCTGGGCGCGATAACACGGCCACCGAAATAATCTCCATACAACGTCACACGTCGCGAGATTCACGGTTTATTGCCGAGTAACCTTGTCACGGAACTAATAGGAAGTGGGGCTTGCGCCTACGGTGGATAGGTTGGCGAGCAATATGGCACACGGTACTGGAACACTGAATCAACGTCCGTGAAAAAATATTAATTAAAATATAATGCAGTACGCGTAGACAATGGAATGTGGACTGTAGACAACCTTTACTATCATTGATAGGATACCCAAAGATCGCTCAGAACGACGTTACTCAAACTAAACATAGCAAGGTACACCGATTCAGGGACGTAAGTCCACCTCCATGGGATCCAAGTGATCATGACACTAAATTACCGTTAAAAGTCACATAGCTAATTTCCCCTATAACGATTTATCACGATTGCACGTGTTTATATCCATTCCTGTTCATTCCACCATTGCACACAATCCTTTTTCTCGAATCGAAGCGTGCATCGAAGACCGTATAGATCGTTCGGATGCACAATATCTATCCAGCGAGATTGTTCGTGGTAAACAAAAGAATTAAAAACCCGAATAATCCGAATTGGTCCCACTTATCGAGCAAACGGCACACTTTCACGAGGCTTATCTCACCGCGATAACACAGCCGCGCACGAATTCACCGTCGTATCGACGATGGGAAACACTATAGATCGCGTATTATATTTCGCTGGGAATGATCGACGCGCGGATTTCCAATATATTGGCTGATCCCGTGGTCGTACAGATCGCGATAACGTTCGTTTTATTATCGGCGCCTAACGTCTACTGGCCGGCGTGGTTTCTGTCTGTCTCCACGATGCGTAACGCGAGCGCGAAAATCGCAGACGCATAGCTGCGAAATTAAGACAGGTGAGACGAGGTAAGCATTTTACTCGCCCGCCGTGGGGAGTGGGGGCGAACGGAACCAGTGGGAAAGAGACAGATCGCGGCCCGTTCGATGGAGCGAAACGAGCGATCGTGAAAGAAACCGTCGGATCGGCGAAGGAAAAATGTGTTGTATCCAGTGGTGCTCAATTGAGCCAAGGTTACCACGATTTCGTGGGATTTTCCGTGGCGTGGATCATCGACTGAAATCATCATCTGAAGACGTTCGTACACATACACGTCCCCCATGTATTGATGCCACGACAAACGTCGACACACCAACGATATCTTTGTAGAACGCACGTTTTAATAATCGTTGGTGATAGGGATTTTATTAAAACGCGATGATTCCATGAAACAGATAGAAGAAGTTAAGTGAGACTATCTATGACTTCGGATTATTAACAGTTACCAATGGAATGTCTAAAATCGATTCTCTGGGAAACTAGGAGAAAATTTCTATATCGATTTTTGTATTCTTGATTACAAAGTATTGTAATGTTCGTCAAGAAACCGATAATAGACGTTCGCGAGTACCCTGTGTAATAGACGAGAAAAAGTTATGGAACTAATGCACCAACGAAACGGCTATAAACTGTCGTCGTTTTGTTAACGCCTGGAGAGAAACTCGTCGTGTAAGATATGTCGAAGCCTTGGAATAACTTCTGTCGAATACAGCGAGACGTCGATTGTAATGGTTGTTTTACGTCCGCGACACACGAATTAATAGCCGGTCATATCGCGTGGAAGACGTTGGTTAGAAGAAAATTGTACATAGATCAATGGACACAGACAATGGTGCAAGAAATACAGTAATTTTCACCAAATAGTACCGAAACACCGTCCATACCTTGGAAGATTGCCTAGATCCGAATATGTCACTACTTACTGCGAACAGAGTCTCACTAGGTAAGTCTCTCTTGATGGTCGTTTCGTATATACAGTCGATATTAAAGTTTGTTTACACCGGTAGCTAATTTGTAACGTTTCACGGGTATTTACCGGACGAGGCAGCGCGACATTACCTCGAAACGCAATAAAGTTTTTATGATGCAACCCCGTAGTACGGGGAACCCTATTCAACGGGCTTTAGAACGCATCGCCCCCGAGCACACGTGCGAAAATGTCGATACGAATTGTCTATTTCTAGGTCGCGAAAGTAAGCGGATCGATACTTACTCCTCTGTGCACGGTACGTAAGGAAGACGACTCGGTAAACTCGCGCCTAGGAGCACGGTCTTTCCCGCCAAACGGAAGGAGAATTCGTGAAACCGCGTGTACGGCCCCCGGGGACCAAGGATTGCCAGCCATTTGCATTCGACCTCGCTGGGCCTCAGCGACACTACTCCAGCAATCGCCGCTAAATCGGTCGCGACGGATCGTAGAGCTGTGCCCATCTTATAGGCGAGTTTCGTCGTTTCCTTGACATCCTTCGCCAGTTAAGGACTCTCCGCGGCGCTCAGGTGTGTCCGCGAAAGAGTCCAAGCGCATGAATCGCCGTTCCATCCGAGAACCGTCCTCGTCGAATCGATAAACGTTTAACCTAAATTTATTCCGTTTCCTACTATGAGCGTGGTGGATTTTCGTGAAGGCGGGAATCGTTGGAGCATCTATGTCCTTCGAGAAATCCAGTTTTTATAATAGATATTACCGTGTAAATCTGTCATGAGTTCTACGAGTTTTGGTATTGGTTGATCTCCTTATCTTCGTGTATCGCAAAACCGTGCACCAGTTCTTCTTATGCTCTCCATTGCAGATAATCGAGGCACCTTCAAGCCTTTCTTGGTATTTTAATACTCACACCGTGTGCGCCGCTTCTATTACCTACAGATCTAGGTGTGATCGTATTAAATCGCGAGCAGAGAAAGGTAGACGTGCCCTGTTTCCAATTTTAAATGCTCCGCCGACCCCGCAATGGGGAGCTCATTAACCGAGGGAAAGTGAACAAATTGACGGCATTGTGAATGGTTCCGTGAATGCCGGATCGGGCGCAATTCGGTGGGGTCATTTATTAAGTCAACAACCTGCTTTAGAATTCCAACGCATTTTACGGGACCGAATTAAATCCCACAACACGATATTCAATGTGGTTGTAGGGCAAGATGTGGGGGGGATATTGCTTCGCAAGGTGTTGAGATTTTGTGAACCAAATATTTTATAATTAAAAAGACAATGAAATAAAACCGTATGCTTACCACGATGAAACAGCAAGGGTAACTGGATCTTAGGTTTCGTCGAACTCAGCTTTCATCATTGTCCAAACAGAGAATCGCGAGCCACGTATCTACGATCTTCGGGTAGCAACACCACAAAAGTTCCTTAGAGGACGTGGTTCACTGTACGTCCAGAAAAGAGGCACTAATTTGAACGATTTTGTATTATACGATATTAGAACTAAACGTCTTTATACTGTAGAAGAACCTTAATAAAGAGGATATTGGATCAAATACAAAAAAGTGTTAAAGTTCTTTGATCGATGAGTCTCTGGGGAACTTTGTCGGCCAAATGGCCCCGAAAGCCTGTGAACCAGCAGTGTTTTTGAGAAGACTGTAACCGACCGCATGGCTCTATACCTGACACCGAGTGGTACTTTCATCCCCTCCAGCTGAACCCTCGTGATTCACCCTCGCCGCCCCCGGTAACGCAATTCAACCTCGAATTAGACTATCGCCATTTTAATGCGTTACATTCGGCCCGAGTAATTAAAGGGTCGGTATATCTAGAGGAGAAACTGGAAAAAAAGGGTAAAATAAATAACGTACGTATCGTGTATCCGTCTAAAAAGGAAAGAAGAATTAATTTCACGAAGGAGAAATAAGAGGATATTCGCAATTTACTTTGAAATTCGTTGGAATGATGAAAACTTAGAAAATGAAAATAAACATAATTCTCTTAAAAGTTGATTTAACTAGCATGAACTAAGCACTTGTTCATTTCGGATATACCACAATGCAAGAATAGGAGTTCGTTGATAAGAAACCGTTATCGATACGAATTTGAACTAATAGAACGAACAGAGTAATAATGACGACGTAGTTTGTCACAATACACAAAGAGAATGATGACACTTTTGGTGTTGCAGTAAAGTGTCGTAATAAAGTATTGTATTAAAAAGAATGTAAGGTAAAGTATAATAAAACGTTAGAAATGATTATAAAATACCGAAAACGTTTATTCTTTCCTCCAACGATTGTCCGTTTCATATTCGTTCTGGAGGAGGCTATTTGACAATGCCCATAATGCTGGAAATTGGTCGACTATAGGCTACGTATTGCGTAAATATTGTGTCCGAAACATTACAACAGCTCAAGCGAAAGAAGTTTTCCATTTCTATTAACTTATCCCTGTTTTCTATCAATTTTATCGAGGAGAATATTTCTTCTTTTGGTTTACGCGTCCTTTCGTCCACCTTGTACAAACGCATCGACTGATGGCGCTGCGATCGGTGGCGTTAATGAAAATCCGCCTGCACACAAGATGTGACACCTCGCGGCCAACATTATTGGAGATGCAATATTTTCCGGTAAAGTAGTTTGGCAGTTCTTTTGGACATTCTGCGGGCAAAAAATACGTGGAAAATGTAAAATTGCGTCGGCGAAACGGGAATCGATTACGTTGGATCCACGCTGTTCTGAACGCGACGAAACTTTCGTGGATTGTGTCTGTGATCCGTCGTGTACATCACATATAGTAGCATATATCGCGATAGGGCGCCCCGAACCGTAATAAAACATCGATCGGTGTAGTGAAAGTGGTAAAAAGAAACAAAATCCAAGTGTTTTTTCATCATGTAGTCGATAAGATCTCCCCAACAGACGTTTATGCTACAATCGCAAACCAATGCTCGTATTATTGGCTTACAAGGTTAAAGAGCCTCAATTCTTAATTGGTTTGTCTCACCAGGGCATTAATAGATGAAAATGAGTGGGGATATGTTTGAGGGAAAGGACTACCCTACCCAGTGGGCCCTAAACCCTTCTGCTTATCAGAATATGAGTAATGACCAAGGTATGTGCAGTAAGAAGTATTTCAGTATGCGATGCGCATATTGTTCATTTTCTTCCAATAAAACTATGAATTCTAACTGATCTATTCACTATTTAGTTGACTGGGCAGCATTAGCTCAGCAATGGATCAAAATGAAAGAGACTGTAGTGCCACCGGCACCACCTCCACCTAATATTAATCCTATATGTTCTGGAAATGATGGTAGCGGAGAGGCACCAATGGATATGGACACAAAAGATGATGATATACCGCCAGCACCACCAGCACCTACTATCAGTGGATCAGGTAACTTAGAAATATTGTAATAATGTAAAATTATTTTTCATGTAGCAGGTATTTTTGAATTTTATATTCACAGGTAACATGTAGAATATAGATACCTATGCATGATGAAAATTAATGTATATTGAAAAGAATTGAACTGTTGAATTCAATAAACTGTTACAAAACTATTCAGTTTCTTTATATTATATTTATTTTTTTAAGTAACAGAGATTATATACTTGTAGAATTATATTGATTTTATATTCAGAGTATACTGTATGTGAAAAATTAGCAGACACCCTATAGTTTTATGTACAATGTTTTGTTTTGTTTCTAACCTTAGTTTCAGAGAGATAAATATTTTAAGCTATATTTATGGAACTGTTTTTCAATGTATATTCTTTACTACCAGCTGAAGCTTGGAACCAATGGAATCAATGGGGCCATTGGAACAGCTCAGGTTCTGGTTCAGGTACTTGGGAGTGGACCGGTGTACCTCCTCCTGGTGTTTCTATAGGTTCTGATGGGAAACCTATGGGAATTCCATCTGTACCGGTTATTCCACCTGCTCCAACCATATCAACAACATCTGAATTTAGCGTGCCACCTCCAGCTGCACCGTCGTTGTATTCTTATAATTCAGTACCTCCAACACAACCTTATAGTCAGGTTAAAATTGTATTTCTAATATAATTCCAAAATCCTTTCCCTTCCTAGTTTTCATAGATCAAATAGAGAAAAAAAAACAATTAGAAATTTTACACAACCTTTAATTATATTTCGAACTTGTCCTGATTTTATTTTCAACAACTTACTAAGTATTATAATAAGGAAGAAACTTATTCTGAAACGAAGTGTGCACGACACTTAAAATTTATGGATAATAAATGTCTTACATATAGGTCTCTAGCTACTGGTCAGGGGATCCACCCGCTACAATACCACCTCAACCGCCTCCTTTCATGAAAGGAGTTAGACACACGAACAGAACATCGCATATGAGGCCTATGGATAATGTACGATGTCGGGAAGACAGAGAAAAGACACCAGAGGAGGACACTACTACAACTATTGGCAAGTATATCAACGACTACCCAATGTTTTTTCGCAATCTGATCAAATGCGACGAGGCAACGCTTTCATAAAGCAAAAATGTTCTTACTTCAGATGCGGCGAAACGTAGACAATTACCAGCATGGATTAGGGAGGGTCTAGAGAAAATGGAAAAAGAAAAGCAGAAAGCTGTAGAGAGGGAGAGGCAAGAAATCCTGAGGAAACAAGAACTGGAGGCCCGAAAGCAGGCTGAGGACGAGGCTCGGGCGGTACTGAATCCGTCTAAGAGCAAATTTGTAGGTGTCTCGTTGCACGGCTAGGCGCGAGCTATTAGTACTTACACAGTTGATCTGTTGGAACGCAGGATTCTGATTCCGAGAAGGAAACAGAGCAAGAGACCGATGAGGGATCACGAGGTCAGCAGCAAGTGGCTGAGAAGAGTTTCGAGCGTACCCCAGACATTCTCCTTCGACCACGGAAATCGCGATTTCGGGACGCGGATTCGCCGGATGCTCATACACACCACACCGACAGGAGTCCGACTATGCCTTCTAACACTTCTCTGGCTACTCCTAAGCGATCGAGAGAGGAAATTCTACAAGATGCGGTGAGTGCCAGCCCAGAACATACAGTTAAATGTAGGGACTCGTTAAACACTCACTTCAGGACCTGCATGATCATTTAACGTGGTAAAAGAGAAAATGGTCTACTTTTTGACCATTTTATGTAGTTAATCTTCAAATGTATATGTTGAACAATACCGATTTAACGAATCCCTAGCGAGATTTTCATGTTGATAGCGCCGAAGATAGACTCGTCGCGAGCATTTAACGGGTCCTTACTGTACTTCGACGCGTGAGGTTCATGTAACATAGATTTTGGTCAGCAGATGTTGAAGGTTCGGAGATCTCTAACGGAAATTCTCCTGGAGGTAACGAACGAAGAAATCGGTGCTATATGCAGAGAGGTTTGGAGCCGCGCACGTGCCAAAGGTACCCCAGATACACACGATACAACTAACAAATTGATATTTCATACTTTCGCTGATCAGTGCACAGAAAATCTGATACACACGAGTCTCGTGCAGTGTTGCGGTGAATTTTATTTGCCCATTTCTGTAATATATAAGCTTTTAAACATTAAACAGAGATTATTCAATTCATAGAGTTACTTATTCGATGATTTCAGGATATCCTACTTTATTTTCCAGGATTTCTATATACATATATATGTATATATATTTATATATATATATACTATAAGTGATACTTATCTTTTCTTGCATTAAATTTTCATCGGATTTTCTCGCGAGTTTGACGCGTGCTGTCGTTTTCTTTTTCTTTAGTAGAGACGAACTATTAACGTTTTTGAACGAGACTTCTTTCGATCGTCAGTCAATTGAAATCTGTGTCGATTTGGCAAAGAAATTTGTTGTTCGTGACGAAAAGAAACAATGGTGAAGAATTGTGTGTTAGAACTCGATGTAACTAGCACGATAAAACGTTCTCATTTCAAGATGTCTGCAAAGGGCAAATACGTGTCAAATACATATTCATTGAAAGTATTCTTATTTCATTGAGCACGCGCGATTACATCTATTGATTGATTCAATAAAACACTCCTATCAAATGAAACACTCGAGACAACAGATAGATCGCATGATCCGAACCCTAAATTCGAAAAATGATTTTTCTTTTCAGACATTTTCCCAAATTATCGTTTAAAAGTATTTTTCGCTTTGTTCTAAACCACAAAAAAAATTACAATATTCTTATATATTGTTAATTATATCGTGCCACATTACGGTCGTGCTGATTGTTAAAATGTCTGTCTACTAACGTCAGTCTAAAGCAGTTTCAGTTTTGTAGTTCAAAATGGATTCGTTAATATCGTAAGGTGTATGAGGAAATGATGCAGGAATCTCGACTCCCTTGCGTGTATCGCTGATGATGATGATGATGATGATGATGATGATGATGATGATGATGATGTGATGATGATCAGTACCATTTAATTTTGGGGGGTACGCTGATCACAGCTCTTAGCCATTGGGTACTAAATGCGTGTGTATTGTAAGTCCCTGCAGGAGAGACCCCCGTCGCATCCCTCAACAACACGGCCCCTCTTGCTCAGATCACTCGTAAGCTTGGTAAGTCCCTACGCTTTTACAATGTTCAACGCACGGTGATCCTAGGAACCGGTCGTGTACAATGCCAGTCATTTGTATAAAATGCATCCGTGCATTTACCGCTGTCTGTAGCCATGCTCGCTTATAAGTTATCCGTGAAAACGAAGATGTCTTACAGGACATTCTTCGATCATAGCAGCAGCATATTTAGTGGTCGAGCGTATGTCTTTTACTTCGAACCAGAAACGAAACAATTCTGCTGTGTACCACGATAATAATCACACGGTTTCGTGTAGGTCTGGGCATCTATGGCGACAGCAACAGCGAGTCCGAGGAGGAGCAGAGCGAGCATATCCAGTCTCAGAACAACGACAGCGACGAGGAACTGATAGTACGTCAACTAATAATTGTTATACCCCGTCTACATTGATAATTATCGCCAAACCTAATGGTTTCATATCTGGTGAAAGAAAAGAATGTATCATCGAACCCGACGGAATTGTTGCAGGAAACGTTGAGACGGCGGCAACAAGCGTTCAAAAAGACGGAGGAAGAAATCGAGGCGCGTCTGGCGGAGGAGGATGAGAGGGATGAACAACGTTACGAGGATCATTATAATAAGCAACAGGATAATCATACTGGTAATACAAGCTGCAAGGAGACAGGTATGTTTCGAAATATAATAGAACCTAAGGCTGTATAAAAATGCAACATTAAGCGTAACACCATCACATCACTACTTTAGTTGATGAAAAAGAAACGATAAATAATCAAAGAGAAGCGTCCGAAACTTTATCGAGCGCCGGGCAAAGTCCGCAGCAACAAGTTGCGCCGGCAGATACGGCGAAGGCCGATACTCCGTCGGGGTCAGCCGACACCGAGTCGAGCAGCTCCGAATCGTCGAGCTCGGACTCGAGCCGTAACTCGTTGAAGAAGAAACGAACAAGCAAGCCACGGGAGCGTGACTACCGTAAGAGACGGTCGAAGAGCCGAAGCCGTTCGAGAGGCAGAAAAACGTCCCGGTCCCGGTCGTCTGAGCGTGGCCGGAAACGGAAGTCCAGGTCCAGATCGATAAAGTCGTCACGTAAAGAGTATCGTTCAAGGTCTTCGAGCAATTATAGGTCCGGCAAGAAGCACAGATCGCGATCGCGAAACCGTAAACGCCGACGATCCCGCTCGAGAAGCTGTCGTAGATCCAGATCGGTCTCGATCGCCCGGAAACGATCAAGGTCGCGTTCCAGACCGAAGAGGAAGTCCCGTTCTATATCACGCAGCAGAAGACGCAGTCGTTCGTACTCGGTCAGACGGAGCAAATCACGGACGAGGGAGAAACGACGTAGTAGATCACGATCGAGGGCCAGAGACCGATCACGTACACGATCGAAAGAACGAAAACGTTCCGAGTCTTACGTTTCCAGGAGCAAGAGGAGATCTCGATCGCGATCGAGGGATCATAGAAAATCACGATCGAGATCACGGCAGTCGAATCATCGGGACGGTAAGAAATCATCGTCGCATCGGTACAGGAATTGAACCTGACCCTAACCCCCCCTGAACTTCTAGCCAAGGTTGTATATACATATTCATATTATAATTTTTCGAAAATATTCGTGCAGAATAAAACGAGAAAAGATATGTGTGAGAGAGAGGGAGAGAGAGAGAGAGAGAGAAAGAGAGAGAGATACATTTTGTTCTACATAGATAGAAGTATGCATACACACACACAAACACAGCAGCAGCAGAGAAACACTGAAAACTGAAGGTTTTCAGGGAAATTGTGATTATCTATTTGAAATGTTTTTCTTCGCTCGCGTGGCACGCGTGGTTAGACCATGTCTGATCGATTAGCTCGTCCCTTTTCCAATCTACTGGAATCTACTAATCTGTAATAGCCTTCGGACAAGTTTTGTAATTATATCGAGAGAATAACTCTACAGATTTTTACCCCTATATAGTGCTGTTTCGTGTGAACCTTCGTACAATTTTCTTCCCTCTGTTTTTTCCGGTTGGTACCCATTCTTCGGTCGGTTTCAAAACGATCAGAAAACACGTACCGCGATACCGAGCCTCTTTCGTTTACCATTCCGATTGGGATTTCCGGCAGCGTATTATTTTGCAATGATATGTATCCGTTTTGTACAAACCGATTACTTAACTTGCATTTCGCGCATTTGTGATTTCGATTTGACGGTCCAAGCGAACGAGCGTACACCGACGTTCGTTGGCTCATTGAATGTCTCGTGTACGCTTCATTGTAAAAGTGCCGATTACCAGTAAACGAAACTGACGAGGTACAAAATGAGTTTTATATCGATGTATGCCCTCCACCCTCCCCCGGAATAGTTTGATTTCTTGTTTGCCTTTCCGTTATTCCATTAGAACCGCGAAAATTCTTAACGTCCATTCTTTATGAAATACCAATTTCCGTCGTGTTTAATTTTTAATTAAACCAAGAACGTTTGACCCGATCATCCTTTGCATAAACACAGAACACACACACACATACACGAAGAAATTCATCTGTTGGTTTTACTTACATGTATTAACATCCGTTCGAAACACTTCAAACCGATGATTTCAATGTATTGTAAGCGCGGGCCTTACATACGCATTGCTATGATAAGTGTAATGAGTCATTTTTAATTGAAATAAATAAAAAAGAACAAAAAACGAAAAACATAACCGAACATGATAAGAGTGAAACATCTCTCCACCTTGCATGAACGATATCGCGAAGGTAAGAGCCCTTCAATTTGTCTCGAGGATGATGATTCCCAAGTTTCTCCGGGTTGTTGTTATCCATTATCTTCTCCTATTATTTTTTTTATTTTTGTTTGTTTTTTTTTGTATTTGTTTCCCTTACAGCGAGATTAGACGACTGAGTGCAGTCCGTTCTATTGCATTATCATAATTTATTTCATATAAACATTTGATACAGTTTTAAAATTTCATTTCGTAGAGCTTAGCTTTTTAGTAGTAGTGTTTTAATAGTTAATTAGATTCTATAGAATGTATCGAAGATAAATGGATGGAGTAATCGAGAGTCAGTTTGGTTTGGCATGATATCGTTTGACGGGTCACTTTGATACATTTGGATATTATATATATATATATAAAAGAACGTCTACAGAACGAAATATGCAACGCGTCGGAATACGAGATTCTTGTTTGGTTTTGACGAATATGGACGCGATAGTTTAGTTAAATTCATGGAACAATGGTGTACAGGTATCTGCAAAATATTTGTAAATTTCTCCCCCTTTCCTGCTTGAGCAACGTTTGTTGGGTAAAGCGGTAGATATGTCACTTTAACGATATTTATTTGTAATACTAATTTTGTAGCGGGATATTTTCTTTGTATAAACATTCTTTCTTCTTGTTGGACACCTTTTTCGAATTATATATACATATATATTTTTTTTCTTACTTTTACTCTTAATCTTCTTTCACTGACCAAAGCTGCCTTGATTCCTGGTTAAGTTTTGTTTACTTTTTAATAAATATAAGTTACACGGAAATAAAACCTGACTAGTCTTGTATTAAACTAAACTTGTAATAGTTAATAAATTAAAATAAATAAAAGTTCTACGTCTACCTGGTTTTCTCTATACAAATACTTAGAAATATTTTGGAATGCCTAATAAATACTTGTAAGAAACATAATGAACCTTTAATAAATCGTATTATTGAAGTCCTATATGTGTTGTTTTCTTTTTTTTAATATATGTATCCTAAATCGTTAACAATAAACAACAATAAAAATCAAATAACTAACTGCAAGAGAAAATTGTGGTTTAATAGCGGTTCTATTTTAATTGCGTATTAATCGATATTTGTCAGTGAAAGGATTAAGAATGTTAAAACCAATTTGTATCACAACATTTTTCCAAACTTATCAAGTAAAGAAAATATTGTTCAAATAGATATTTATCTTACGTTCATTTCAATTCTCGCCTATGATTGATATGTGCAGTATCTTCCCAATTATTACGATATTCGTTAAACAACGAAGATTAGCCCAAAATCTGACAATCTTTTGCATCCAAAGTAGGCATTTCTATACTGTTTCTCCGGAATTAATGTTCAATAGTCGTCATTGTAAAGTAGTAAACACTTGATGATATAATTTTTATTTCAATGATCCAGCCTGAATTGCATACCATCTGCAGATACTAGTCACTATAAAATAAGGTACGTATTTTGATCTATGTGGATAGCTATTGGGAGTCTATTATATAGACTAATCTTATCTATACTCGTTAGAAGATACCTTAACTTTAAATATACAGTAAATATACATGTATGCTTAAACTGTCAAAATATTCTCACCACTGTGATCGAAATGATAGGGGCTAGGCCAGTTATCAACCCTGAAACCACATGATCAGACCTCATTCTGTCAATTCTATTGAATATCTAAACTTATTCCTTCAATAACACAATGAAACACCACTTCGATAGAATTTTATTGTATAATAATATTATTCCGATTTGTAATTCGAAAAGGGATTTTTACACAGAGGTCAGTGTGATTTAAAAGTCAATAAACGACTCGAGGGATGCAATTACTCACACAGAGACGTATATGTATATATGTAGATAAATGTGTACAGTTGAAGGTTAATTAATTTATCAAGCAAGATTGTCACCAGGGGTGGGTTGCTAGTGAGAACATTGTTACAATTTAAGCATAGTGAATATCATTAATTCGCTTTATGTATGGACTAGACTCAATTACTTATAATAGTAGATCTTCATACGATATTGCAAAGAAACATAGTTTCAAGCTGTTACAAAGATGTGAATTTACAATGTGGATTGTCAAGACTTATTAGTGACCATTTTCTCCTACCACCTCTACCTAATGATGATTGTAAAACGATTGACATAGATCGAAGCCCTGCAGAACACGAAATAATAATTTTCCGTCACTATTGGGATCAATTTTTCAATATTAAATGCAGATTGGTTTCAATATCGAAAGAAAAGTCTATCAACTCTGAGCCTCAGACACGACCACGTCAACCAATAAGTCTCGACCTTGTCTATCGCAAAGCCAATCTAGCGGACTGGATGTTTACAAATAATCATAGCAAAATAGTTTCGTATATTGTATAACACTACAACGACATGAAGTAGGTAAAAGTACAGAATAACCGTAGTTTGAAAGATCAAAAAGACGCGTGGATCCGAAGGAAAGAGATGTCTCTGGGTAGCCTTAGAAATCATTACCATGCTATCCGTAAGATTTAAACGTTCCTACTAGCAAATAATACAATATATATATAATCTTTTTTTTTCCTTCATATATCTATATCAAGATTGCGGTAGAATGGGGGACGACTCCACGTACCTTCCCTATTTTCGATTCTGATATGTATACTTCGACGCAAAATAAAAGCACGTTCCCCTTTCTTGCCCCTTCCCCAACCCCCCTGTGAAGATTTGAAGCATTGAAATCACTCAAATCCATCCCCATGTAACACGATCTAGCCCGACACAGGAATCGATCGATCTGTTTTTTCATCGATAGTTCCTTTTTTTTTCCCTTACCATTCCTTTCTGTTTTTTGTCCTCCGTTTCCCCCCCGAGCGCGGATGTTAGCACGTTCACGAAACGATAGTACGTCTATTAAAATTATGGAAGGCTCGTCTAGCTTCGCTAAACGTCAATTACACATGTACATAAATAGCGTATAAATTAATTAAGTACAAAAATTACAAACTTATTAACAGAAACACGTTGGCAAGACTGAGGGGGGTTCGGCCGGATCGAGAGTTTCCCATTGTTCGTCGTTGGCCCCTGTTCGATGGAGTAATATAATAAAATGTAATTACGTCGTTTAACGAAATAAAATACTAATTGTTAATTGTTTATAATGCAATCACTCCTCGATTAACTATCGCGTATCACAGAATCCATATGTGTGTGTACCCTCCTTCGAAGAAACCATTTACACCGCAAGAACCGCGACGACACGATTAACCTCTTCGAGTCTGAACTCGAATTTTCGTTTTTCCATAGTAATTTCAGATTCCTGCGAATTCTATCCACGGAATAATTTCACATCGCGATGAATCAAGGAAGAAAGAAGAAGGCAACGATATAGTACGTACATCACGATCGCACAATACATACGATGATGAAACCTAAATTCAACCTAATTAAACCTAAATTCTGGATACTTACAGTACCGCTCAAAAGTTATTCAAACGCCCAGATTAATTCGGTAAAACACAAAGAATTTTCGATCCATTACACTACCTGTCGTTTTGTTTTTCTCGATGATATTCCACACGTCTTTAGTATATTTGCAATATCACACATCGAATAGCTTTCACCACGAAGAACACACACTGCAGAACACGTTTTTAAATTGAAATCACATAAAAAATTTCTTTTCGGAGATTCCATAAAAATGAAACTTACTAGAGAACTCGAAAAAAAAACAATTATTAATAATTTCTTATTACTTCTTAACAAAAACAAGCTCATCTGTCCGTAATTGGGTCGCTTACCCTATTAGTACCACATTAGAATTCTTGTTTTATTGTGCATTTAAACGATGTGGCCTGTTCCCTAAATACATCCCGTCAACTAAGGGTCATAAAAATCTATAACTGAGTCCATTGTCATCAACTCCAAATATTATATCGTTCGAATAATTCTGAGCGGTACTGTGTGTGTCGCGTTTCACTCGAAGACTCGGGAATTATTTTCAGAAATTGTACCAGCCCGATTCAACTTTTATAACGACGATCACGACGAGGCCCCGGATCCCGTTTTCTCTCGAGGCGATTAATTTTTGTGCTCCTCGGTAGAATCAGGGGATATTATTTGAATTTCGAACGGAATATGTGTTGATTTACAGTAAATCGAACCGTGAAACATTTACGTTCACGCGATATACTCACCACGGCCTCTTGAATCTTAATCTTCTTCATTTATTTCTTCTTACTTTTATACTCGATCGGTCGATTCGTGGAATTTAGGATCGTAGGATTCCCGTAATGATCACCTTTCACCTGTGTGTTCCGCGATCAGGGGAACTCCAATACCGCACGTCCCCCGGAGAACTTTCGTGTGCGAACTTAACAAATACGGACGAATTAACATAATCAGGCATACATACACGTAACGTCGTAGCAACGTCGGATTACATTAACTGTAATGAGTATATTACAGCATTACAAGAGAGAATACTCTTAACGGTTTAACCAATATTATCTGTATGGTACAGTATCGCGTTCGGTGATCCGGCTCGGCGAGACTACCTTCTCCGAGATACCTGAAAAAATACAAGAACATGTTTCAGTGTCTTACGGCAAAAACAACTCGGATAATTCTAGGTTTTTAACACTGGAGCTATCGGAGCGGTCAAAATAACTGGTTCGTAAAACTTACGAAAATGAGTAAACTGATTACTTACTCTCGTATTTTTTAACGTATATGTTTCAAACAACGAATTGCTGTTATTCGAATAAATCTACGTTTTATCGTTAGTTTGGTATTAACAGAAGTCCAAAAATAGTATATAATTAATTTATTATATTACACCAAGTAAACGTTACCTTGATCACTGAAACGTAGCGATGCGGAGGTGACGAAAAGACTATTGGTTGAGCAGGGTGTTAGTCACCTCAGAGATGGACAGCAAAGGACTCCCGGCGTCCGGTTTGGTATCTGAGGGACAGTTGGGCCCATTCCCCCCGGTGATGATCCCACCCCGTGTTGGTGCTGGGGGTGGTGGTGCGCAGGATGGTACAAGACGTTGTGGTTGTTGTTGTTGTTGGTGTTGCTGTCCGGGACGATGCCCATGCCGACTCCCGTCCCCGTTCCCACAGTTGACGGGGGTGTGCTGCAACCGAAAGTATGTCCAACAGTTATTCGCAACCCCTTTCGACCGCCTCGTTCAGCCCTGTCATTGCGGTACTTAATTACTTCATGTCGACAGTATACTCGGTGCACGAAATATCCCTCCTCGTTCAATATTCCATCGATATCGAGAGGATCGTCGAACGTATCCCTCCGGGTGTGCAGTGATACAACTTAAAATATACGAACAGATTACGCGCAATCGACACGAGACCGCGAATTCTAAAATTGTACCGGCGAATATCCTCGAGAATAAAAACGTGGACATGCAACACACAGAGATGTATATACAGGGTCTATTCGAAAGAAATGGGCCCAGGACTTTAGGTGTTTATAGTAGTCACCTCTAGTGGAGTAAAAAATATACAACGTAGAGCCTAAAATCAATCCTCTCGAGGAAAAGTATAGGAGAATATTTTTCAATATAAAACTCACATCCGTGGATTAGGGATCGATTACATTTTCAAATTTTCTTGTATTGCCTGTTATCTTATAACCTTGAAGTAATGAACACTAAATCCTCGATGACTGTTCGAAGGCTCCTCGGCATTGATAAAGAGAGGTACCTCAGGTGTAATGCTGCCTTTTTAATGAGATTTAGCACAGTGATATAGTTTTGGAATTCTAAAGCCAATGATATTTGTATTAGCCATATATGGCTATTTATGAAGTATTTCTAAATCCAAAACTACGATTTCACATCGGGAAGATTGATTTTAGTATATCTATGTTGACCAGGCATTTTTCCCTCCGCTAGACGAGTACTCTCAACCGCCTAACCTCTCGTACTCAATTTTTAGTTCGAACACCCTGTATACGATCGAACGACAGCGCTACTCGATCGAAAAATAATAATTTGTGCATTAATCGTACCCATGCATGCCCGAGAGAAAAATCATCTACACGGTCGATACAGTTTACTCGATCCCTGCACTGATTCACATGTTCGTGGTAGCAATGTTGTATGAATCCATTCACGAAGGAACACACTGTTCCACTATCTATACTATATATGTATACACATATATGCCGACGGTACTCTATAATGCTTTCAAAAAACTTGTGAGGCAGCAGTGACACTCACTGGGGCGCGTGCCTTGGTGGTGCGGGGTGGTGATGGTGGTAGGGATAGTACTGGTAGTGGTGATGGTGTTGCACTCCTTGCCATACCTCGGAGCCCGCTTCCCCGTGGCCATGGCCTGGATGCGAGTGCGTGTATCCGATAGTGCTGGCCGCTGCAGCTGCGGCCGCAGCCGCTGCTGCCGCTGCTGCCTGATATTGTGACGTGGTCACTGGATACTGCTGATGCTGTTGCTGTTGTTGTTGCTGTTGATGATGCTGGTGCTGCGTTTGCGTCTTAGTTCGCGGTGAACTCGGCGCGGTGGTTTGTTGCTCGCTGGGTGACGTTTGCCTCCATTTGCACTCCCCGTTCATCGAGTTCATCTCCGCCAGGGACTTTAGGGGATCACCAGCCGCTGCTGTGTTGGTCGAATGGGTGGACGAATGGGTGGAATGTGGCGTCGGCGGGCTGTAGCTACCGTTATTCCTCGGTGGAGTACGAGGCGGTGGTGCGCCCCACATCAGGACAGTCTGTCTTGGGGCCTCGTTCCCGTACACTTCTGGTTTAACGTCCTCGATCTTCGGGGTGAGCACACCGTTCGTTGGTCCAGTCACGGGGGAGCTTCCAGCGGAATTGCTGGACGACGCTCCACCTTCCAGGGAGTGTCTGCTACCAGCTCGAACGATATTGATGTCGGTGGTCGCTGTGTGCATCGTGGACGCGCTTGCGACCGGACTGGCCGCATAAGGGGAACCACTGACGCTGCTCGGGTGTCTTGTCTCGACGTAGCTGTACTTAGGGGATTCCCCCAATTGCTGGCAGTAGAGTTTCTCTTCTGCTTTACTTGTTAGTTGGTGGGTCTCGTAGGTGGGTAAAGAGACGTCGATGAAGCCGTTGTACGCGGTGCTCGTGTGGTACTCTGGGTAGTAGGAACCGAGAGGCCTGTACTGGAACAGATTCTCCGTGGCTGCTGTTAGATACCTGGATGGGGAATGAACAAATTCGTTGATATTGATGTCACAGGTTTCCTGATCGTGTTATGAAATGGTTAAGCAACTGAAGAGCTACCTATTGTCCAACGCGGTCGCCGGATATAATGTTTGATGATAATTGCCCGTGTGACCGATGTACGTGGTCAACGAAGGATCAGTACTGGCAGCGACTGCCGTAGGCGCGTACGGAGTAGGGTACATCGTGTTCAGGTTGCTGTACGCCGCTGCGACCGCGGCTGCAGCGCTGGTATCAGCCGCTAAATAGTCCACGGACGCGACCGTGGGCGTGACTGGCGGCGAAACGGACGATTGTGCGGAAAGTTTGGTACGTTTGTTCCGACAAGTGGACAGAAAGTCCCTCAACTGGGTCTTGTACCGCCTGTTCACACGCTGAGACGTTGGCTGCGTTGGAAGCGTTGGTGTCATCACCGATCCAGTCAGGCTGTCGCTGTCGGAGAAGTAGCTGTTGGTCAGTCCAGCGTCCAAGTAGCTCACTTTGAAATCCATCGTCCGTTTCCCTAGAAGATCCCTGCCTTCCTCTTCCCTGTACGAGACGAATCGGTGGATTAATGCATGAGACACTAATCTGAGAATTAAGGGGATATTCTACTGTAGTTTTTTTTATTTCAGATGAATAAAACGACCAGAGGTGGTCTACTTCTATGGGCTGCAGTGCCATCTTTATTTCATAGTTTCAATAAAAAAAAAATTTCATGTATATTTCAACATATAATAAATATACAAGATAAAGATTCAGATTAAGAACCTTTCAATAAGTCCTCAAAAAAAATCCTGAAGAAAGTTGAGAAAAATGGCATGTCACAGTAGAACACCCCATTAAGAACTCAAACTGTATACTGACATAAGCGGTCTGTGCGTGCTGATGACGAAGTCAGGCTTCGAATTCTTGTAAACCAATCTGGAACTGGTCTGCAACCACTGCCATCCGCCGTCCTTCTTCTGGAATCTGTACGCTATCATGCCTGAAGCTCCAGTCTTCAGTACTGTAAAAGAACCAAAATCCAAAAATTCACACATAGTTTTTATTTTATCGATAGATCTAATGGAACATCGGAAATGTTCTCACGTTCTTGGTGTGCGCTCGCGACGTAAGCCAAATCGTCGTAATGGACTAGATCGTAGCCACCGAGGTTCGCCAGTTCAGCGTCCGAGTATCCCAGCAACATTTTCCCCCGTTGATCCATGGACACCAGCGCTAGATCCAGTTTGTGTTTACTTTTAAACATCACGTCCTTTTGAGGGACTTCGAGGAGAGAAGGCGGTCCGAATGGTGTGCAGAGGGCGAACAGCGCCAGGGGTGGTTCCTCCGTTTTCCTATTTTGGCCATGGAGTATCTTCACGCGGCCTCTGATGTCTAAACGCTGAAACGTGCATCGAAATTTAATTCTGGACCTTGGAGCTAGATTGTATTAAGTCCACTGCTTCCGACGGTCAACATTATTTCGTTCTAACTCGTTTAGTATTTAATACAATAGTGGAAAGATGATATTAAGTCCATATTTCGTTCGGAACCAAACAATATAACGTCCATCACATAGGGGACCAATGTTCACCATTTCTACATATCGAGACTTTCGAGAGTCGAATTCTCACCGAATGGTTCTAAACCTACAAAATTTTTACGCTTTTAATTCGCTCTCCTCTAAAGTTTAGTATAAGTGTGACTTAATATACTCTGGTTTAGGGGTCCAGAATTATTACCAGACAACCGAGGAAAAGAACGCGGAAGACAAGAATCAAACGATCAGAAGAATCACAACAGCCCACGGACCTGTCCATCGATGGTACTTGTCGTTCCATCGTCCACGAAAACACACGTAAATCATGTCCTGGGCAAAACCAGGTCCGGCCCTTTGGCAGAAACGAGCCGCGTACCCGGCAAAACACTAATTATCTTACGGCAAACAGCCGGTCGAATACAGAAGTAAACGGAACAAAGACAGCCGAAAGGCTATAAAGGGCAACCGACGAAGCACCAGCGGCGGGGCCGAGGATACACGAACACACCAAGCACGCAAAAAGGACGCCGGCTCTGACGTTTATGAAAATGAAACTGTAATCGTAAAAGCTTTACGGCGAGAACGACACCACGGGCACCATCGAGTCGGCATCCCATCGCGGCCCAACACGGGACCGACCGTTCTCCGTTTTTACCAAAATCCACGGTAGCAGGGCGTTGGATCATCCTCGACACCTAGCCTCGTGAATCCTTCTTTTCGCCTGGTTGATGGAATTTTCTTCTCGTCTTTATTTCAACGAAAGGTTAATACGTCATGGATCGTGGGTATCACGAAGAACAGGGCCTAGTTTAATTTACGCACGCCTCTAATTTAAATCCACCCCCCCCAACGCTGCTTGAATCAAGGAGAACCTTAGTTGTAGGCCCGTACAGAACAGTACTCGACGCTTACTAAACAAACAAAAATATTTTCAAACGGAAATAATAAAAAATAGAGGACAGCACAAGAGAAACTATTACTTCGGTCGAATACTACCCTGACCTTATCATCGGAGGGTTAATACGTCGTGGATCATGGATATATTGCGAAGAAAAGGGTTAACTGTTGCTTTTTAAATCAGAGTGAGTGTAACGTTAACGACGTTTCACAAGTCTGATCAATAGGACACTAAAGGGAACCATGGGGTCAGGCCTGTACAGAACAGTATTACAATCTTACGTCAAACGAGAATAAAAAATATACACAAACACGCAGAGCTTAATGCAACTTCCGTCCGAGAAAACCTCTCTCTCTCTCTTTCTCTCCGTACGTAATTCCATCCGCCAGATGCCAGAAAGAGAAAAAAAAAACCGTGGTAATTACAGTCGAACGAGGGAAAAACCACCCCTTTCCGCCGCCAATTAAGTTCCATTATCGCGAGCCGCAGGGTTAAATACGGCTCCCGGTGGCAATTATGAAAATTTGATGTCGTAAAAATCCGATCGATAGCTCGCGACGACGTGAGTGAGACGGCCCCCGATCGAGCGTTCCTCCGTCAAGGGAAAGGGGGTGGTTTTCAGAGGAACGCACGATAGACAGCAGCAGCAGTAGCAGCACGAAAACTCCGCCCGCGGGTCAAAGTATCATCCGTGATCGCGTGACCGTATCGTACACACGTTTCGATGAATGAAGGAAGAGAGTATGCGTACTCGTGGAATTTCCAGTGGAATTGCGACCAGGCATGCGATACAGCCTGGAGGTTCGAAGATCTAGAGGAATTTCGGCGGGAACCAAGAAAATAGCAAAGAATCATCCGAAAACTTATTCTTCTTGCTCCGGATGCATAAATGGTTATTATCGTAAAATCGAATGTTTGATTCTGTTTGTTCTTTTTTTTTTTTCGTTTTTTAATGAAATGTAATGTACGCTCGAGAACGGCAAATCAGCTTCTTCTTTTTACGGGCGTTGTTAGTAAAGGTCGAACAGGAAGGAACAAAGAAGATCCAAGGTACGACCGAGGAAAAAAGCAATTACCAGGAGAGAGACAGAAGGAGAGAGACCGTCGGGAGGAGCCCCGTTTCTCAACCTTTTCCTTTACGACAGTGAAATTATTAATTACGGTTTTGTATGCCGAGCGTGAAGAAGTCACTCTTGGCTGAGGAACGGCGCTGGTCGCCAAGCATCGCGATTATACGACGTAGTCTTTTTGCTTTCGTTGCTACGTTGCCAGTCTAACAGCCGGTAGGCCTTGTATTGCGATTATTTAACTCAAGTATCTGTCGGACGTATTTGCATATTACCATCGTTTCTGCCGTGTTTCGACGTTTATTCGATCGCGGGGATCGAAGTGTCCGTGGGCGAACACTGTTGATACGGAGAACAGAATCCAAAATGGCGTCTATTCGACAGAAGAGTGACGTGGTCGTCCGAGGAAGAGGCACGATGATCGATGGTTATGGAAGAGATTATTTCTGACATTTTTTTTTCAAGCTTACCAAAAAGCCGGACGTATTGTCCAGAAGACAACGGAAACGGACAGTGAAACTGCGCTCCAATAGGTGACTGTGTTGGGGTGAAAGAGCGTACTGTAATTCTTCGCGATCCTCGCTGTGCACCAACTCGTAGACACTTTGGTGGACGATATCGGACTGTGAACAGAAAGAAGAGTTTTTAGAATAAAAGTCTCTAATGTTTTATTGGGGTAATAATTTTATTAATGGTTTAAAACTTGTCACCAAATGGAACGAGTGTTTTATGTGTATTTTCCCGAAAAATATAGTTGATCAGGGTAAGAAGAAATTTTCACGGAGCATGGTGAAATTTTTCGAGAACGATGCCAAGAAGCAGAGTGGCGCAGTGGAAGCGTGCTGGGCCCATAACCCAGAGGTCCGTGGATCGAAACCATGCTCTGCTAAGTGGTGTGATACTTCATTAAATTTTTTTTATTTTTATCTACCTGTTTTATAGCGAGCTGCTTTAAGCAAATACCCACATAATTTCTTTTAACTTTCATGAATATTTAATTTATGTTAATGTATACTGGGATTAAGAATAATGTTTTACTTGTATGAAAAGGTAAGTAGGGTTGTTATATGTATACTATTTGCGACGTGTGTAAAGTAAGTTTCGTGCTAAATGAATATTAAAATGTTTATTTCGGCTGACTTGAATGGGTAATTTGTTACTAGGAAGTCTCGACTGTACTGTATTGGAATAAATAAATAAAAAAAAGTGAATCACTTAGCAGAGCGTGGTTTCGATCCACGGACCTCTGGGTTATGGGCCCAGCACGCTTCCACTGCGCCACTCTGCTTTGTTGAATAGCATTCGAAAATCATTTTCCACATGATTGGATCGTAAATAATTTATTTTTTACTATTCTAATTATCATAAAAGTAAATTATGCAAATGAATTGAATTTAATTAAAACTCCATAGGGTAAAAGAATAAAATTGTGCAACGAAACGAATGTCTACTCGTGATATTATCTACCACGAAATTGTTACAAAGTGCATTAGTTAATGAATACAAAGGATTTTCTTTCCTCTTCTTCATGCAACATCGGTTTCGGAACATTTTAAATAATCTGAGATTGAAAATGTTTAGAAAGCTATGCACAAAAATTAAACGTATAATAATTATGATAAACCATTCGTGTGTTAATTTTACTAATGCGAGGTATTGATTTTCCCCACGGTTTTAACTGAAATGGCTTATATAACAATTTAGGGAAACTCCTTTCACAACAGCAGAGTGGCGCAGTGGAAGCGTGCTGGGCCCATAACCCAGAGGTCCGTGGATCGAAACCACGCTCTGCTAAAGAATTATGGTTCTTCTTTTTTTTTTGCAATTTTTCTCTGTATCTCTTACCAATGCCTATTCACCACTATATCAAACTATTACAGAATTTTTCTTAATTTACTTGCCTTCAAAATTCTACAAAATGTGCACTTTATGTGTACTTCCCGACTTTTTACATATTTCAGGTTATGAGCAATTCCGGTATTAAATATTATATTCCTGAAGCAAAAAGCCCTATTGATTGTTTATTTTTGGCACATTAATATAATGTTAATAACTTTATCTGACTTCATTAAGTAGCAACAAAATTAGCCTAGGTACATATTTTCTTTAATACAAAAGACATTGAATATATGGTTGGCATTATTACAAGTACTGAATTGCTCCTTTCTCGAACAAGGTTTTTGCAGATACACGATTTATTCTTAGATAGGTAGTAGTTCTTATTGACTCACCCCGTATAATACAATCTAGTATAATACAGTGTAATGTAAAATATACAATAAATTAAAGGTCCAACTAAATATCGACGAAGGCACCTTTATGACTTCAGTAATTCTAAAATCAGAAATCTGAATTTTGTCATTCTGATGGATTTAGTCGTTCCAGCGTCAAGCAACGTGTACACTAAATTCTCGTTGTCGTGCCAATAATTCTACAGATTAAAAATCTGACCACGAAAAACCGTGTCCGTTCGGTTTCTCACCCCTGTTGGCTTCCATGAATCAACTGACCCGGCACCCCCGAATGCAACCCGCCCGACAACAGTTCGAGTCTGCCCCCAGGGGCGGCGAATGGCAAGGGACACACAGAGGCGCACACCGTGGCATTATTTCAGGAAATATCTGATCGGTCGTGACGTCGCGACGGCGCGACATAGGCGCGCATACGGCACATGTAGCTACACGTGTCCGACGCACTTTATCGCGCATAATTAATCCGGCCTAGCAGCGACGGACGATGAGCTCGGTGTGCACGAGAAACCCATAGTTTCCTCGTCCCCTTGGTCCGTGAGAGGAAACGAACAAAAAGACTATCGAGTCATTTCTCTCTCTCTCTCTCTCTCTCTCTCTCTCTCTCTCTCTCTCTCTCTCTTTCTCCCTCTGTCTTCGTTCAACGATCGTATATACAAGGTGTCCCAAGATAGTTATAAGTCCTTGGAAGGAATGATTCCTAGGGTAATTTGAAACAACTTTTTCCTCAGCGAAAAAGTTTTCCGAGGCTTTGTTAACAATATATTAACGAAAAATTCCGATTCGTCGGGGTTTTTCATTAGTATATCGTTAACAAAGCCTCGCATAATATTTGAGTGACCCATTTCAGGGACCTACAACATTTTTGTTACACCCTGTATACGTGTATAAATCTTGGATCGTCCTACAACGCAACCCCTCCCCGATATTCCTCTGGTACACAGTGCCCAGCTAGAAAATAGATCGAATTAACAGGCCTGGTTGTTCCGTGGCCACGGTTGTCCGGCCAACGTCGACGCCTGGAATAATGTAATAAATCAGCAGTTGGAAATGATACGGACCGTTGGAACGTGTATACGCTCGTAGAAATAGGAAGACTGCCGGTTTACGATGTAGTCCCGGCGAATGGAGACTTATCCGCCGAAGGGCGAGGAGCATTTTTCGCCCCCCTTCCCTCCCCATAAGGATGGGAAGAGGGAAGAATCCTGTTCTTGGATACGGGGGTTTAAAGTGGTTCATTTTCGAAGGCCAAGGAGAACAATGAACAACATAAAAAATTGCTACTTGAATCCAAAATGGTAGATTTCTTTCAGAAAAATAGCGCGTTACCTTCGGATTCGAATCACGTCTCTAATTGCGAAGGTTTTAGTTGTGGGTCGCCGTTTGTAAGAAATATTGTTATCAACAAACGTTACTTTATTTTTCTTGACCTGCCACTAACCAATTCCAATCGGTATAATGCTTCAGATTTAACTAGGCACGGTTAAAAAAAAAAACAAAAAAATATTCAGACTTGGTTAGAGACACTTCAAGAAAAATGAATCATTGTTTTCTTAATAACTTTTTACTAAACAGCATTCGATAACTGAAATTTTCTGAAGGTCCCTCAGGAGGGTGAACTCGACAACGTATTAAAAAATCATCGAAATCAGACGTGGTTCTCTTGTAAACATATACAAAAATTCGTCTCCTGAGTCTCACTTGGGACTGCAAGTTTCTCGCTGATGATCAATATTGGTCCGTGTCGGTTCGGAACAGAAAACGAACAGAATTTTCACGACGTGGCTGCGGAATTGTCGCGACCGGGGGCATTAACTGGTTGGTGGCTCGGTTAGACCGGGTATAATATAATAAATCACGCGATAGAAGGGAACGGTAGGTTTCGAAGTACACACGTTGCATTTCCGATAGGCGAAACAGCGTTAGCCGCGCGCCGTCCCGTACTGTTCGGTTCGTGTCCGCGGCGCACGGATCTCACGACTTCCATGTTACTCACACCAACCCCCCTCCACCCCCCGACCCTTGCGTTACGATATTACAACCGGACGATAATGGGATGCTGGGGTCTGGTTCAGCGTGCCTTTTTCTGTTTTCGATCGAATTATCGTGATCCATAAAAACAACCGGAAATTTTTTGTAGATTACTTTTTTCAAGTTTATTTTATTTATCGGTTAGTTTTTCACGTCTATTCCATTTATCGCACGTATGTGCGTTGTTCTTGAACCTCCACGATGATGATTATTAACAACTGTAATTTATATTATTTACGTCAAGAAATAAATTATACTGATTGAGAATTTTGTGTTCTGTATAATTTCTCCGCAAAACTCCAATGCATAATTCATCCAACTCCGATTTGTCTAACATAGGTGGCTACCTCGGTTTAACGAAGGTCATTGAAATCTGAGGTGGCCCCCTTATTCTCTATAATTACCAACATTTCTTTCTGGTGATTCCAGAAAAATGAAACTTAGTAGAAAACTCGAAAAAAAAAAACAATTATAAATAATTTCTTATTATTTCTTAACAAAAACAAGCTCATCAAGCCACTAATCTGTCCGTAATTGGGTGACTTACCCTATACCTGGAAGCTACTGAAGGAAACACAAGGAACATGGATCTTTTTCGCCCACCCCCAATGGCCGGGTGCAGACTACTCGACGCCCATAAAACTCGATCTCTCAATAAATATATTACGGAACGCAGCGAGTCGCCCGTGTGTGTCTCGTTGATCCCACAGTTCGCCATTGGGGTCCAGTGAATTCAAACCGGGTACTATATACGAGGTTTCCACGGGCCACGGGTCTAGTCGCAGCAGCAACCCCCGCTGCGTGGTTCCGTTTGCTCTAATTTTAATTAAAGGGTTATACACACGATTTCCGTGGTAATCGAGCTCGAGCCTAAGCTGGTCCATACTTCATTGGGACACAGTGGACGTGTAATTGCTCCGCCGTTCGCCCTTTTATACGCCCGCCCCGCCAACATGGCACGGCGGGGCCAATTTTATTCCCGTTCGCGTATATCAAGCCACACGAGCGCGTACGTGTAATTTTCATTAATACGTGATTTATTCAGGGCCAGCGGTGATTTATAGAATTATATCGACGCCTGGTCGCGGTGCGCCGGCCCGTCGATGTCGAAACGGTGTCTCGGGATCGTTGACGGTTTGGGATCCCTCGATCGATTACAGGTCTCGATCATCTGTTTCGGGGAAGCACGATGACCAGAGTTTCTTATTATTATTTCTACATGTTGCAAGCACTAAGTATTGTCAGGTGTATGTGAAAAGTTTCTGTATCGTTTCGAGCATCGATATCTTCGTTAGTATTTTTACTGATGGAAAAGTGATGTACAGGTGGAAATGTGTTCAGTA